AAAAGGGCATGAATAGCCCCTAGGAGGCTTGCAGAGTGTTCCGGGGGGGGGGGGGGTGGGGGGGGGGAAAAAAAAACAACAAAATGGCTGGGGTTTTTTTGTCAAAAAAGGGCATTAGGAAACTTATAGAGTGCTCCTGGAGGCCCGGTGGGCAAAATTGAGCAAACAATGGCCCATTTTTCGCTCATTTCTGCCCTTCCCAGCCCCCAGGAGCTCCCTGAAAGCTTCCTACAAGCTGTACATGGCCATTTTGGTGAAGGGTGCAGGGTTTTCGGAGGCAAAAATATGCTGTATTCAGTACATAAGATGCACCCAGATTTTCAGCCTCTTTTTTGAGGGAAAAAGGTGTGTCTTATACTCTGAAAAATACGGTATATCTATCTATCTATATCTATCTATCTATCTATCTATCTATCTATCTATCTATCCATCCATCCATCCATCCATCCATCTATCCATCAATTCATTCTTTAATATAGAATATTGAAGTTTTACATTCAGAAATAAACTGAATTCCCAGATTTAATGTTTATTGCATTCATTTATGAATAATAACACGGGATGCTGAAGGTGGAATAGGTGTTTTCTGAAGATTAAATAGGACTATAGGAATAAGCTATCCTGACTGACTAAACCAATTTCATTGTATACATGATGTACAATGACAATAAAGGCTATACTACTGTGTGTTCCAGATGTTTTACCTTCCAGTTCTTATTATTAGATAGCGTGTCATGATGAATTCTGATGACAGCATTGTACCCAGTATGCTAATGGGCACCAGGCTGGAAAAAGATGGCTATAGTATTGTATAGTATAGGTTTTGTATAGTATACAGCAATGGTGTCAAACTGGCAGCCCACAGGTGGATGCATGACATGCAGGCCATGCCCATCCCATCTCCACAAAGGCAAAAAACATTGTGATACATCACGTGACATCAACGTAACATGATGTGTTTGACACCCTTAGTATATAGTATAGATTTTTAAGAGAGATGGAATATGACTAGAGCACAGGTGTCAAACTGGATTATTTCAGGGGGCGGATCAGCATTGTAGTTCTCCAAATGCTGGTGGGAGGGCAGCAGGGCTGGATGGGATGGACACCTCCTACATCACTCTGCTGGCTGAAAATGGGCCATGGGGAGGCCCCATGGGACCTCTGCACAGCCTGTTTTAGGCCTCCTCGTTTTCCAGCAGCACTCTGCCAGCCAAAAACGTGCTGCACAGAGGTATCCGCACAGGTATCCACTTTTGGCCAGCAGAGTGCTGCAGAAGGCTGCAGAGGCTGAAAACGGGCTGCTGGGGCCCCACAGCCTGTTATGGCCAGCAGAGACGACACGAGCCAGTCTTTTCATATTTCAAGGCTAGCCCCGTTGGCTGGATTTAATCACCCCGCAGGCCACATCTGGCCCGCGACTCTTGAGTTTGACACCCCTGGTCTAGAGTATCAGCATTCTGGACTTTTGTATAGTTTCAATCCCATGAGATTAATGAAACATAAATGTTCAGTTGCCATTTTTTTAATATTGTAAGAGGGATTGTTTTTTGTTTTTGTTTTTTGTTCCTGATGTCTTGAAGTGTACAAGATTAGAAATAAAGTCTTGAAATATTTTATATTTATGGACTTTATATACATTTTGCCTAGTATACTGAAGAAAATCCCTTAGATTCCATTTTTCTGGTCTCTATTATCTGTGGTTGTTCTAATTATAAAACAAATATTTAGAATCCAATACGCAACACTTCTTTTTCAGCATATAGAATAGCACTGTACGTACCCTCATTAATACTGAACACTCAACTAAGTTGACTTAAACTCTAAGAGCCCAGTGAATACACTTTAGCGCTGTGTGGATTACAATTTAATATTGTTTCCTAACTTTTTAAGATGTTGATATGTTTTTTTCCTTCATGATATCCTAAAATGGAGTCAATGTTTCAAGCTCTATCCAGGCAAACCATTATAATTGGTTTTAATGGAACGGATTAGTTTGCATCTTAGCATCAATTTGACAAAATCATGTGACCATCTTTTTGCTGAATACAATACTAAACATACTACATATAACATTCTTCTATACTAAACACATTTCTGCACTTCATTATGAATATCTTATGATGAAATCTAAGCATAATTTATTTTTCTCATAAGGAAATAGTTTCGAAGCAGTATTGTTTTATACGTTTGAATTGCTAAAATAGCATTTCACCTAGAAATGCTTCGCATAATTAAAACTGTGATATAAATGAATATCTGAAAGCTATGGAGTTTATTTTCTTCATGTCTTGCAGCTGAAATTTTAGAAGACAAACCTGCAGATTCATTGCAAGATTTGTACCGATCTTTGGAACTAGCTAGTTTGTCCCCTCTAGGAGATCGGCAAATTTCTACCAAAATGGAATACAAGAAATCTTTCATTAAAAGATGCTGTGACCCAATAATCAATGAAAAATTGCACCAATTGCGAATTCTGAAAAGCACTTTAAAGGTAAGATGAAAAAAGAAATTTTCCAATGTAAATGCATGGCCAACAAAAGTTCTTCTTCAATTATTACTGGTAACTTACTTCTGAAGCCACAGAATGTTTTTGTGTTCTTTTCTCTGTTTCTTTAATATACACACCAATTAAAGTGAGAAGACCAAAAATGAAACAAATGTATTGTTAATGTAATGCATTTATTTTATAAGACATAGAACTAGAAAATTCTTAAATATAAAGTAATGATTAAAACCTTCCTTCAAACTCAATTATTCCTCAGTTATTATGACCATAGGATTAGGTTTCTAAGGAAACCTGTATTCTAAATATTCAAATATATGTGGGGTTTTTTTTCTCATTTTTTCTTTTTTGTTTCCTCAAGGCCAGAGAAGAAGAAGTAGCTATGATAGATGAGGTTCTAGATAATCCAGATTTGACATCTAAAGATTTTCAAGACTGGAAACAAATGTACCTTGATCTCTTCCTCGATAGTTCTCAGAACAATGCAGCACAAGAGCCAGTAAATGATTCTGATGACGTTGATGTGTTTCTAGGTTCTTTAGCACACACCCATTCCTATATTGAAACACATGTATAACAATAATTTTAAACATCTTAATTCTTTGTTTTCAGCCCTTTTTACTCAAAAGAGTAGCTTTTATATCATGTTGTAGGATATCTATTTTAATGTTTATGACATGAGTAAAGTACAATTTAATGGTCATTGTAGGAATACAAACTTATATGCATTTTATGCTGCTGATGCTCAGTTTATGTTTATGTTTACAAATGCTGGCTATGATCCAAAGGAGTGCATTTATGGAATAGAATGATAAGCATTTTGTTTGATGTTGATACTGACACAATCTTCACTGCTGAAAAGTCAGTTTACTTTTTAAATGGAACAGAATTTATTAACTTGTTTCTTTGGATCATGTCCATTGTCTACCATTTTTTAAAAAAATGATTATATATTTTAAATAATACATAAGTGTTGTAATGAGTTACATTTTCAAAGTGCAGCCTTTGTTTTAGCCAGTGTGACAATTAAACATTTATATTTAGTGGGATATTTTAGCTATTTTAATAAATTACAGAAGAAGCATAATGCTGTGATTATGACTGCATTTAAGGAAAAGGTCAGGGAATAAGAAAACTGTACTTTCATAAGCTTGAATATTAAAAAATAATATTTTTCCAAGTTTTTTGGGGGGGGTTATTAGCAGACAATCTATAACAGATTAATAATGATAAAGGGCTCACTTTGTTTTGATTTTAACACAGTACTTCAGAGCACTATGACCTTTATCATTGCCCCTTGGGTGATTTTTATACTGAAAAATGTTGCTTTACCAACCAAAGTATCCTAGGCAGGAGGTTGGACTAGAAGACCTCCAAGGTCCCTTCCAACTCTGCTATTCTATTCTATTCTGTTCTGTTCTATCCCATTCACTAATTTATTTTTTAAAACCTCAGTATTATGACAACTGAAACAATATTTTAAATTTTGAAAAAACTTCAAAAACTGACTATTAACAAGGCCTTTATTCGCTAAACTACTAGACGGTCCATGTTTTGGGGAAAGTTATACTTAATTCAACATAACAGCTTCAAGAGACATAAGTAAAATCAATGTTCTAGATTTTAAAAAATCCTCAGGAATCATTGTAAATTGTTAATTTTTTAGAACAATTAAATGTAGATCAATCTGTAGTAAATTACATGGCATATGAGATTGAAAAACTTTGAACATTCATAGTGAAATATTATCTAGTTGTTCTTCAATTCTAACTTTTTTCTATTCCTAAGTGTCTGAAGGATAATTTTGGTCAACTCTTAATGTGGACCTAAAATCACTAGAACATAACTTATTACTAACTCAATTGCTACTGATTTTAACTGTTTACTCCTGTGCTTCCCAAACTGTGTGCCATGGTGCCACAAAGCATCACAGCCAATTCCCCATATGGCACCATAGCATAGAAGCATCATGAGATTCTTTACATTTAATTTTAAAAATTTTATGCCCATTTGTTCAGGATGTCATGAATTTGTTTTTGTTTTTTCCCCTAAATATTAATTTATAGTTCTCCCTTTAATTTCCAGCATAGATGTAGCACATACCTTTTGAGTGTGAACTAATGTATAGTATTCAATTGCTTTCCCGCCTTTCTTAACCATTTCTCTGCCATGATTATTCCTGCCTTTGCTCTAGAATTGGGATTACAGCACATTCAATTACTTTTAAGATAGAAAGCAAAGAGAAAATTTGGTCCTGAAATTATAATTAGAGTTCAGAAATGAAAGGAGAGAGCACTGTCAATTCCAGTGTGTTTTATCTTTCTGTTTATATGGATACACACACTATCATTGCTTAAACACTGATCTTCTTCCAGAATAAAGAGGAAAATGGCAAGACCTTTCTGTATTGTTTTCTGTTTTAAGACAAAGCTGACTGCGATTCATAAGTGCATTTAGAGAGCACCAAAAAATGCAACAGACAGGAAAGTGGAAGAAGAATAGCACTAAATTATCCAATGAATAATAATAAACCTGTAACTGTTGTTTTGATTTTTTGTTAAGGGAAAATGTCTCTGTGTGTGTGTGTGTGTGTGTGTGTGTGTGTGTGTGTGTGTGTGTATCTGTGTCTGTCTGTCTATCTATCTATCTATCTATCTATCTATCTATCTATCTATCTATCTATCTATCTATCTATCTATATCTATCTCTATCATGTGAGATTAAAAATGTTTACAGAGCAAGTACAGCTGTCCATTTAGAAAGAGGAAGGGCATAATGAAGCCTGCACACAGCAAACCTGTACCAACTTGTATAGGAACCTACCCTTGATTGTGAGGAACTGAAATACAAGCTTGTAAGACATAGGTTAGTCTTTCCTTTAAAAGGAAAAAAATAAAATGTACTTTTTTTCTCAACTTGCTTCCAGTTATTGCCTGTTCAGCTCAGTGAATGTATTTTTTAAAAAAAAAAAATTAAAAGCACTATTACATTCTGATCTTGGGACCTAAATAAAGAGCAGTGTTCTTTATTTCTTTTCAAAGGCATTTTGGACTGCAAAAGTTTTGCAGACTTTGCACAATTGTTCAGGAGAGTGGCCTTTTTCAGCTCATTTAAGTGCATATCTATTCAGTTGAGTTCAGAATGAAAAATCATGTATTGAGATCCAGATCCAGTAACCTGTTTATATCATTTAGAAGAATATGTTTGTATAAACAGTTATTGACTGCATGAATTATTATAATTTGTATATTTCTCACATAAAAATGCTTGATTTCAAATTAATTATGTTTCCAATGTTTATTTTAAATTCTTGCTGGGTTTTTCTTGTAATGTCTCAATGCCTAATTTTTATGTATTGCTACATAACTTCCACATAGATGAGGAATCAAGTTAGAAAACAGATATTGCTATTATTAGTATTAATTGTATGTGGTACACTGAAGGCTTTTGCCAAGGCATATATTATAAAGATGTTTGTGATCAATATTTATTAATCATTTTTATCACAATATTTATTACAATTATGCAATTACGAATGACTGAGTATAATAGAGAAAGTAGTGGACATAATTCTATATCTTCAGTTCTATGTTTCTTTGATAGAGAAAATACATTTGTTTGGGAAGTATCTTGAAAGCTACATGTGAATACTTGTTTATACCAATTACTCTTATTGTAAGAATCTGTACTTAGGTTCTTGATAAGTCTGTTGAGATGCTGAAAATGAATGGCTTTTCAGCACATTTGCATAATCTGGAAAAATGTGACCAGCCACATCTTCATACAGCTATAGATGTAGGCTAACATTTCAAATGCCCTTCATATAGGAAAATGGGAGATAATGCAGTGCATAAGAAAGCTTTAAAGTTGAGTAACATGAGATAGCATAGGAATCTGACTATCTTGAGAAATTGCTACTTTGCTGCTCATAGAAAGCAAGTGAATGCCAAAAGATTCTGTGTATATAACAGCCTGTTGCTATACAGCATTTATTCTGCCTACATAGTACCTTAGCAAAGACAGGTTTATGACTTTCAAGGACAAAATTCAACTAAATTTTATATGATTTGATTTACTTGAAATAAGGCTCTTTTGCTTTAACAAAAGCTACATTGCTGCACATTTTATTAAGTGAACTCAGATTAAAATAGATTTCCTTTAATACATCAGGTTTTGAAATGAATATAATTATAAATTTCATTTATTCTCAGATTTCACACTGGCATACAGAGAAATGTAAAACATACTATCCTATTCCAGCAGTAACAGAGGAGGTGACTGTTTATGCCCTTTGCAGTTAAAAGTGAATCATATACAATATATACAAGGGCAACTTTTATTAATGTGTATGTAACAAATGTTTTCCCAGCAGCATGATCCAATAGGACATGTAACATACGGTAGCTATACAAGAGCTATACCTCCAGACACTAACTGTATATATATTTAGTACAATACCTTGCTTAACAATCAACATTTTTACGATTATTAGTACTTGTGGCTTTTTCCTGCTCCATAAATTTTACCAAATGGAAACCAGTGGAGGGCACAACTGAATATTTGCGAGTGAAAAAATTCACTTGTTTTTTCATATGATGTTTATAATTACATTTTACAAAGTAATTCTACATAGCATTTCAATAATAGCTGAAAAGTGGCATTTTCCTGAGATGATCAGCCTATTCATGCATGTAAATAATGAATTATATAGGCTTGAAAACATGTTGATGTTATGTAGACACTTGGATAAAACTAGATTGTAGTAACAACAGTTGGCAAATTAGGAAAAGAATAATTATACATTTAAATAGAATAAGAAAACAATTAAGAATCTCTAATATCACAACAGCTCTTACAATCATATTTAATTATTTGTTCATTTCTGATTAAATAAAGATGAGGAAAGTACTCTGTTTGATATTCCTATGAATTAACCAGCATTGTTTAACAATGTGGACCACACAAAATAGCAAAATTAGAAGTATACATCTTTTTTTCATAAAACATTAATGTTGTCCTTATCAGGAGTTTGTTTGCCCTTGAGGGGCTGGGGGGGTATGGCCAGTCCAAGGGCAGCATTTGTCTCTATCTGTCTTCAGGATGGCCCTGCAGGTCAACTCCCTGGCCTATTTCAGGCTAGACACAGCCCGTGGGCTGCATGTTTGCCACGTCTGATACAGATTGCATAATTTAAATATATGTATATAAAATAATTGTTTAATCCCTAATAATGCATGTTGTATCCTTCCATAATCCTTGTTTTCCTAGTTCAATGAGGTGTGATATCAATATTTGTCTCTTACTGTTGCATGTCTTTACCTTCTACTAATTCAGAAAGTTCTAGCACTCCACACTGTAATCCATACCAAGGAAAAGGAGTTTTGCAGATTACTTCCCAACAGTCATTATCAATATCATAACCTACAACATCCTGAGTTGGAATTTCCTGAGAGTCTTGCCATTTCTTCCCTCCAATAAGGATGGCTGTTTCCTCCACTAGTACTAAACCATAACTATATCGATCGTATACCAATGGCCTTAAATGGGTCCATTGATTCTGGTCAGGGTCATATTTTTCAATCTCAGAGAATGGTTCATAAAAACCTAAAAATGTAAAAATTGAATCTCGGATTGTAGCCATCTGATGCCCAAAACGAGCAATGCTCATTGGGGCTTGTTTTCTCCATTCCCCTTCAAGATTACTCAAAGCATACATATCATTACTTGTGTTACTTTGACCCATGTATTTGCCCCCTGATATATAAATAGTATTCTTACAAACAGTACCAGCGTGGCCATGTACTTTGCATGGCAAATCATGAAGTTTTGTCCACCTGTCTTTACTAATATCATAGATTTCAACAGATGAATGCAATTTTTTATCTTCACTTTGTCCACCAATTGCAATGATTGCATTCTCTAAGATACAGCAAGAAAATTGACACCTTTTTTCCAGCATCCCAGTAATTTGTATCCATTTATTAAATCTTGGGTCATAGCGATGGACTTTATTTGTAACTTTCAAGATATGATCACTTTGCATATCTTCCATTTCTCCACCAAGCACATATAGAAAGTTTCCAATAGTACATACACAATGATTTTGTATCCTATCTGGTAACTCTGTTAAATTTTGCCACTTGTGATTGTAAACATCAAAAGCCATCACTTCTTTGACAAGCCCTTCGTGTGCAATCATACCTCCAAGCAGGATAATCCATATCTTCTGGTTTCTCAAAGTGCTATATTTATCCTGCAAGATAGGTTGTTTATAAATAAGTGAATGATAGTTTATTGCTTTTCTAATTAAACATTTTACAGGAGTCGTTAAAGGCAC